ACTTAAAAAAGCAGAATATTACAATGTTTACAAACTTAGTACAAAATAAAACAAAGTTTATTTTAATAAGCAGAATAATACAATGTTTACAAATTAGCTGAAGCGACTGCAAAAAGTATTAGCTGAATATTGAGATCTTGTACCCAAGGGTATTACAGTATGCGTCATTTTTAAACTTCATTTCCAAAACTGATGGATGCTTTAATGACGAATCAGACAACATTAATACTTCGATCATTTATTCATTGGCATACAGCTTAATAGTCCTGCTGCATTACGTTTACAATCACATCAATATTATACAATCACATGAGACTTCATTAATAAAAAATATCTCTCGACCAAGGACTGAAATGAGTTTAGCAGGCACGAGGATTTATGCATTAACTGTATGCTTGGACTAGGCATACAGTTAATTACTATACTAATGGTTTTAATATATTCTTTGCAAAGCATGCATAAAATAACCACAACACAAGAGACCTACAGTAGTCAAGATCACTACGCGAAGATAACAGGCACCTCAAACACTAATCAACACGAACGTCATAGTTTTTTTCACAATTCTACTTGTATGCTTCTACTCGTCAAAAGCCTGTTGTTAGCAACTAAGAATAGTAGCAATTAAGTATAGTAGCAACTAAGAGCCCAATCACACTTAGTAGTGACATCGGCTCAGGACTGCCTCAGGGCCACCTTCTATTTTAAGTGTGAACAATCAATAAATTTTAAGCCAGCCCAAAGCCGACCTAAATTTAGTACCGACTTTAAAGTCATCTCAGGGCCCGCAATGCAGGACCTGGGCTCATTTATCTGAACGTAAACTAAAACTGGGTCACCAAGATCGCTATGATAGTGGTCACAATTCACTTAAAATCCAGACGCAAAGGAGTAAGTCTGTACATTCGCAGTGCGACCCTGAGCCGACATTAAATATTCACTATAAAGGGAATGTCGTTTTGTTTGAATTATCTGTAGGTGTGATTGGTTCTAAATGAGGGTTG